CTTCGATATGAGAGATGAATTGTGTAATTACAATCGATCGAAATGCACTCTATGTATAGGCGTAAAATATAAGTTACTGTGCGTGCATAGTGACGGTAGGCTCCACACAAATAATATTTTACACACAACTTTTAACTTATGATGCGTATTTTTGTAACTTCGAATAAGCCACTTTTGCTGACTTATTATAACAATAACTATTATTTGAATTTTAGAAAAAAAATAGTGGTGTATTACAATGGATGAAAATAGTAAATGCTAGGGAAAAAGAAAACCCTAGCATTCTCTCTCAAAGTGTGCGGCCGGTACAGTACATCAAAATTCCGATCTATGAGTTTTGGTTCGGTGGTTTGGATCCGGCTTGGTCTGGGATAGAGGTGCTCGTCTTTGCTTTCGTCGATTGGTCTAGTACTCATTGATTCCGTTATTGAGGATGTGGGTTGGCATAGCTATCATTCACTATTTGCAGGTGTAGTTGATGGTTTAGGGTGGGTAATATCTGAATAGCCTTTGCTTTACGTCTTTGGATCTTATAAATCAAAACCTCCTTCCATCGCCTTTTAGCTTAGTCAATAATTAGTTTTCGCCTGAGGTCTTCCATAGTCAGGTCGTGTAAGGCTAACCTTGTGTGGGGATGCAATAGATCTTGACATAGACTCTTTAGGTTGAAGATTAGGTGGGTAGAAGTTAAGGTTCATGACTGTTGTTATTTGATCGGGTTATTCATAGTATTTGGGTATTTTGTTCGCGGTTTCTCCCTTGCCCAGCATTGACTTCTAAGCTTTGTAGTTCCGCGGCTACAACTTGTTATGCGCATTCCATTTGTTTTAGTGATTGTCTCTCCCAGTTTCTTTTATGTGGTTCTTCGTTTTTTAGACATCTATGTTGTACTTTCGACAATATCTTTGGCTCCCCTATGACGGGATTATGGCTCTTCTATGGCTGGATTGTGGCTCCCTTTTGGCGAGATTATGGCTCCCCTTTGGCAGGATTATGGCTTTCCTTTGGCGGGATTGTGGCTTTTACCCATGTAACACAAACTTTAGTTTCTAATAATATAAGCAGATGAAAAAAAAATATAGTGGATAAAATTTAATGTCTGAATGGTCTGATTCATGCGTAGGTGTGAGGATGTACGCCGGACCGAGGAAGCGTGAAACTAATTGAAGATTGTCAAAAATACTGATCCGCTCTGATATCTAACTCCGGCATATCTATAAACCATCTTTTGGAATTCGAACAAGAAAAAATGAGAAGAACAGACACTTACACCCTTGATATTTGACTTTTTAAGAAGTTCACGATACATGAGAATCTATTCCTTTCGGGCCTGTCGAACACATTATCCAATTAAATACTCATTTTCCGATCTTGCATTCTCTATCTAGTCATATGTCCCATTCTAAATTGAGCGCCGGAGAATAATCGCTTATAATATGTATTTTTGACAGCTAATTATACATAGCTTAGAAAAAACATTTCAAAACACTTTATTAATTTTATTATAAATTAAAAATAAATTTATACTTTTGGTTTGTTTTTTTTCTCACCAACTCATGGTTTTTTCTTTTGTTTTTAGTGTATTTTTCACCTTAATTCTTTTTTCTCTTTCTAATGTCATCAAATTAGTGGATTTTTAACTCTTCGAACTTCTACTAGTGTCATGGTTATCCACCAAAAACTAAACGGAGTGGCTATCTACCGAATTTTGTTATCATGCCATCCAGAAACGTCTTAATTCGTCTCTGTTGAAATATATTGAAATCTTCACCTTTTAATTTTGAATTGGGTTTTGCATATAGATCTTATCATTTTCTAACATGTGCGATATAGATAAAATGAATTCAAAATGAAAAAGATTTACAAAGAAACATGTACGAATTCTTAAAGTGTAGAAATATTGTATTTGAAGAATATTTCCAAAAAATAAGAGTGATAATATCTTACCTATTCAGTTTTGTCTTTGTGACCATTCACTCGTAAATGTTTTTTGTAGAAGGTAATATGGTTACACTACCTAATTTCAATATCCAATAAAAACTCTAAACATCTTTAAAAGAGG